AACAGTGCAAACTCCTCTTTTATGGTGCATTTTTATACAATGAGAAGGAAAAAAAAAAAAAAAAGAGAGAGAAAAAAAAGGCCTGGGCTTCCAAAATTAATAATCCAACGAAGCAGCCCATTTCTTATAATAAAAAGTCAGGGGGCATGACGTTTCAGTGGGGTAAGAAGAAATGAGGCTAGACAACACCTGCAGTACATGAGGTAGATTTATACTTACAGTAAAAAATCATTATACTACAGAGGCTGTTTTGGTGACCTATGTAGCCGATGTCAGCCTATTTCCTTTGTGAGCAAGATACACACAAAGCTTTCCACTATCACCTGTTTCTGTGGAAAGGCCAAGAACAGAATAAGGCTGAAAATTTCACTACCCTTTCTCCAGCAGCAAAGTAATGGGATGTGTGCACATGCAGGGCATGAATCACCTCCTCAACTTACTGGTAGTCATTTCAAAGGTAAATGAACCTCATCTCCATCCCCACTTTCACCCTTTCTGTTGTCTAGGATAACATGAGGACAATTTGCTGCTTATGCTTTTCAGATAAAAACGCATTTGGTTTCAGAAAGTATTGCTTATTTATGGCCATATATTAATTTCAAGTGACTGAAAGGGCTTCTGGTCTGAGCCGCTGGGCAAAACATGTGCATCTCACATAATAAAAATTTTGCAAGTTAGGCCTCTCATGGCATGGCTGAAGTACTACAGAAGTATTATAGGAAGAAAATCTTGTGCTACTTTTCTTCTACGCTGCAACAATTTGGCATATGCAGAAAGCACCAGCATTTATAGGGACCTGCTATTTCACAATGCTGTGTATTTCTCTGCAGTGCACAGTATATCTCTGAAGTCAGCAGAAACTGGAAGACCTCTGCATTTTGCACCCCAAGAGTATTGAACCCTGAGACCGTCAGTTCGGCATCTTCCTCTGGTATCAAACTGACTTCAAGATGTATTATAAACCCACCTATTTTGCTATAACTATGCCCATAACTAAAAGAAACTTGATAAAGAGATTTTGGAAACTGCTTTAAAGTTGGGTACGTGTACAATGAAATGTTTCAATTATAGACTACTACCTGTACAAATATTACCTGGAGAAAAACATGATGGGTTTCTATTTGAGTTACGTGCTGGAGCTGCAAGTTTGCATGACAGAGTTTGAATTACATACCTTGCTTCTGATGTATAAAATTGTCAGTTACTGAGATTCTTTGGAAACTGGAAGGATGCTCATTCACTAAGACCAAATGGGTTAATTATTTGCAAATCCATGAGGTTTTTTGGTCTTTTCTTTACTGTAACATTTTCTTCTAAGAATACTTTCTCTTATGATAGCAGAAAGGCAAAGTTTGTTTTTATTTTCTCATTAAAAAGATTATTTTCTACTGAAGTAAACAAAACAAGTGACTGTAAAGCAGG